CCTGCAGTAGTACCCAACTGTCTCCTCATCTGCCTCCTCGAAACACTGTGCGAACTCTTGCCGGAGCCAGGCGATTAGAACTCTAGAAGTGCGAGCCCCTTGCTCGTCAACCTCACGCCCAAGGAAGGCCTCTACTCGTGCTCTCCAACCTTCTGACCTGCACTGCCCAGTCACTGTGTTGCCGTGAATCATCAGGCCTAGCATCTTCTGACAGTCCTAGAGCGTGACTGTCATCTCTCCGAAAGGTAAATGGAAGCTGTGAGTCTCTGGCCGCCACCTACATTTTAGACAAAGTAAGATTACATGTCAAAAAGGCAAGCGCATGAACAAATAGCCATGAATGAAGGCAATGATTGAAGATAATACCTATCAACCAACGCAGTTATGACCGCTGAGTTGAACTTGGCAACCCACGATGAATCTGAAAAGAGGTGACATCCAGGCCAGCTCTTTATAGGAAAAGAGTGTACCTGCTATCGTACTGCATGTCCAAGAACCCATTGTGGGTTCTAGGACGAAGGAGCGGAAGGTCCTGCATGGAATAAAACATAGTCTCCTGTTACTTCACGAACACATGTACGCTCACAAAAATTTAAATAAAACGTATAGATTATTACCTGCCCCTCTGCTATGAGACGTCCTCGGTGGGTCGCCTCGTACGTCAGGTCGAGCAGGTGGAATTGCGCCATCCTAAAAAAATCAATGAAATAGAAATTCAATATACAATGAAACATGAACTTAGAAATGTACAAGTAATTAACACAATTACATGCATAAATTGAGACATGCACAATTAATTAAATGAATACGACAAATATGAAATAATGAAAACAACCAATAGTCGTACCTCACTAATCTGCCAATGGCAATTGCGTGAATTGTGGGCCAGTCTACCACACTCGCCGCACTCGTACTGCTCAAGATCAGTAAGAAATGGGGTTCCTCTCCCACACCTCTTTCTTCTGGGTATCTGATTCATAATCATCTTGTGCCTCATCCTCTTCCTTGATCCACGCTTGTTTCAAAGGTAAGCTGGATCCGCAATGTACTTTGGCCCATCATATGGAGGCCACTCTCCAGAGTCCCGGAAAGGCACGAAGCGGGGGCTCCATGTGTGCACAAGCGTGTCGACACTGAACTCGTGAGGTATCCTGCTCTCAATATTATAGTTGCGATGCCTAGCTGCTGTCACCAAATGAGAACATAGAAAGTGGTACTGCCTTGGTTTACCACAAGTGCATGGAAAATTTTGGAGGATAACCACATGCATCCTCGAATCTCGGACCTCACCATCGAACGTTGTACCGCCACTATGCTTGACCTGATAAGTCCCTGTGGCGTGGTCAAAGCATGTAACCTCATGTGTGCTAGTCCTTTTATTTACCTTCTCTAGGTGTGCCTTTGGTTTTGGAGCCAATATCTCTCCATCACTCCGCAACTTCAATGCATGGGCGTGTCTATCGTTGAACCAGGCAACAAGCTTATAGAAGGTGAATTGAACGATTGCATTCACGGGCATACCACATATCCCCAATAGCAACTTATTGAATGACTCTGCCATGTTACTGCACTGAAACTCGTACCTTCATCTACTGGCGTCGTGAGCTCTTGTCCATTTCTCCAAATCTCTCACCAAACCTGTGAGCCATTGTCTACCTTCTATATTTGATGAGGTTCTGACCTGCTCTAACTTTTTCTGAAAGTACTTGTCCTCAAGCTGTCGAGCAGCCTCCTGAAACAGATCAAAGTTATCATTCACACCATCCTTCCGGAGTAGATTCTCGGCAAGGTGCCGAGTACACCAATGATGGTGCAAAGGTGCATACCCCTCTATCTACTCTCGCACGGCATTAAGTATGTCGTGGTGCCTATCTGATATGACGCCAACCTCTCTGCCAGGCCCAACCACATGTATCCAGACTAGCCTCAAGAATCATCCCCAACTGTCATTGTTCTCCTTCTCAATAAAAGCAAATACTAAAGGAACCAACTTATTGTTCGCGTCATAGGATATGGCTATAAGAAGTGTGCTCTGGTATTTTCCAATCAAGAACACACTGAGGGAAGCACCAGAAAGCACAGAAGAATATCTGCCTTCCAACCTTCCATGCATTTGATTTTTGGATGTACTCATAATGCATGCCTGGATTCACTGCTTTGATTGCATTGAAAAGTGCTGGCAGCTGCTCATACCCATCCTCCCAGTCCCCATATATCATCTTCCACTCTCGCTGCTTAGCCTTCCAAGCTTTACCATAAGTTATCACATAACCTCCATACAACGCCTCAACGGTCCTGATAATTGTCATAACCTTCATGTTGGGTTCTCCCTGCAATATTCCCATCAACCGCTTGGTAATAAGGGTAGATGTCAACCGCCGATGCTTCAGTGTCAGCACATGGTCAACACAATTGTGTGGCCCGACAACTTTTGTGATCTTCCACTTTCTGGTGACCTTTTGCTTCCTTGCACAAACCCTCCGTGGGCGGTGTTCCTTGTCACACACAACTGTGTAACGGCGCTCCACATATGAATGCAAGACCTGGTAAGGTCTCTTTCATATCACTGCAAACGCCTGCAACCACCTCTTCAATGCAGGGAGGTCCTTGAATACCCTCCCATTCTCAATTACCATATTAGGGCCGGCCTCAGGAGCTTCTAGGAGCTCGTCATCATGTCCTTCTGCACACGCCTGATTGGAATGAGCAAGATCGCTGAACTCATAAACTCTTGGATCATGGCGGCAGGGAAAGATACGCCTCAGCATCTCAACATCACTCTCTGTCAGCTCTCCAACAGGGCGATCATCATCAGAATCAAGAGCCCTCGCCATCTCATATGGCTCTGAATCATTTATAATTTCAACACTATTGAAGCCACGGAATCCATCTCTACAGTGCACTTACACACCAACAGGGGGCACAACCACATTGTCAGGAATATCTCCTGCAACATAAGTAAAGAAATAAGGAAAGAATGAAAGAAATGGATGTAAGAAAGGGGGTAAGCTCCCAATAACCATGCGGATAAGACACTTACTCGGATGATTCTATGTTAAAGGGATCTCATGAGGAGGATCTATCACAACATCATGAATCTGATAAGCATCTCCAACTACCTGATTGGGGGTAGATTGAGCATCGGGAACCGTAGGTGCAATCTCCACATCCATATCAGGTTTCGGGATGGGAGGATCAAAGTGCGTCTGCTGACCCATTGGTAGAGAAACCCCATGAGGAATAGGATCAATTAACATCCGACACACAACCACATCCAAACATTGCAGCTGGCTCTTTATAGATGATCTCACATAGTTATCCCACTGATCAGCACACCTAATTGGGATCATTCGCCTGAGGATGTTGGGAGGAGAACCTAGGTGCAGTACACCCTCAACTGCAATACCATCATCATCTCCAAGGCAATGCAGCTTCTCCTGAGCCCTTGCAACCATCTCACTAAATGAAGGCCTATCATTGAATAGCACAGGCACGCTTTGCATGTCAACAAACTCAACATATCCATAGCGATCACATTCAACGGTGCATCTATGATATATGGTCACTAGGTTATCCATCTAGTTCAAACACATAACGAAGCACATGTCCTTTAGTCCAAATTAGACGATAGATACTACCTAACAAGTACTTTCTAACTACAAACTAAGTAAATAAGATAATAACTACATATATATATACAGTGTACTCATAAAATAGCTATGTCTATGTGCCTATGTATCTATATTTCTATCTATCTACATATCTAATTATATCTATGTACCTATGTATCTATGTTTCTATCTATCTACATATATATCTCTCTAGATCACTAACTAAATCAACTACATGAGTCATCACATTAACTAGTAAATAACAAATAATCGAACTACTATATTACAATCAAAGCTAATTAAGTACCTACATTGCATATTCATAATTTTTACCTGGTGCGGCCAGGCGCTGCAGGGCCTGGGGACGGCCACCGAGGGCGCGGGCGCGGGCGGTGACGGCCGTCGAGGGCGCGGGCGTGGCCGGGGACGGCCGGGGCGGGCGCGCGGGCGCGGGCACGGCGGCGTGGGAGCAGGCGGTGACGTCCGGGGCAACCCGCGGCGGTGCGGCAGCAGTGACTGCTTGGTAGAGAGAAAGAGAGAGGAATTGAGAACAGAAGGGAGGGCCCATATGTAAAAGTGGGCTTTGCGCCAGGATTGTTGGCGCCGAGCTCGGCGCAAAGATCAACGGCGCCGAGCTGGCTGCCATGTCAGCGTTCACGCCGCCAATGTGGCCCCGACCTCGGCACCAGCAACGATGACGTCGAGAATTGTAAGCTCGGCGTCAGCAACAATAACGCCGAGGTAAGGGTCCAGATTTTGAAATCATTCATCGGCATACTTGTGATTTAAAAAAAAAAGTCTAAAAAATAAAAAATTCGGGAACCCTTATCCTTATCTCCGGTGAGCTCTGAAATCCACGTCGACTCACGTACAGTACTCTTCAGAGATCGATTTCACACGGAGCAAGAATTGAAAAAGGAAAAAGGAAGCCATCGAGACGTGCAGCAACAGGACACACATCCACGAACGCCGCGACGGGACTGCTCAATGCAGCCAGGTGGTGTAGGAGTATTATTGGCCTCACCGTGTCTTCTTTTTATGTTCCAGCAAGCACGTAATGTAGGGGGGCGTAGAATCTAACTATCAAATCGCGAGGGCCGACGACCCGACGACGATGCAGCTTTCTACAGGACTAGTCGTTTTCACGTCGTAGCAGCAGAGCACGCTCGCTTCCATCGCTTGGAGCAGTCGACAAGCACGGCAGCATAAATGCGCGCACAAAAGCTAGTACAGTAGTAGGACGTCTACAGTGCAGTGCGCCGCAAGTTAACCAGAGGGCGAGCAAGTCGACGGGCCTTGCCTTGCTAAACAGTTGCCGCTATATAACAGGCTCCTCCAACACACGGCGAGCCAAGCCCGCCAAGGTTGGCAACCCTCGCACACGAGAGCATGGATCCCAACGACGCCTTCTCGGCGGCGCACCCGTTCCGGTGGGACCTGGGCCCGCCGGCGCACGCCGCGCCCGCGCCTCCGCCTCCGCCGCCGCCAGCGCCGCAGCTGCTGCCTCACGCGCCGCTGGTGAACGCGGCGCCGAGGGAGCTGGAGGACCTGGTGGCCGGCTACGGCGTGCGCCCGTCCACGGTGGCGCGGATCTCGGAGCTCGGGTTCACGGCGAGCACGCTCCTGGGCATGACGGAGCGCGAGCTCGACGACATGATGGCCGCGCTCGCGGGGCTGTTCCGCTGGGACGTGCTCCTCGGCGAGCGGTTCGGCCTCCGCGCCGCGCTGCGGGCCGAGCGCGGGCGTGTCATGTCCCTCGGCGGCCGATTCCACACCGGGAGCACCTTGGATGTCGCGTCACAAGAAGGTATTGTACAGTGTGTTTGCCTCTGAATCTGTGATGATGTGGTCGTGTACCTGCGTAAATGCGTGCATGCATGCACGCGGACAGTGCCCATGCGGCCATGCATCAGTCTTGTTGAGTTACGTGCTCTGCTCGCCTGTGATATATGTTACCTGTTCTTGTTCAATCATATCGGCGCAACTAGCAGTGCTGTCCGACGAGCGCGACGCCGCGGCCAGCGGCGGCATGGCGGAAGGCGAGGCCGGCAGGAGGATGGTGATGGCCGGCAAGAAGAAGGGTAAGAATGGCGTCGGCACGAGGAAGGGCAAGAAGGCGAGGGGGAAGAAGGAGCTGAGGCCACTGGACGTGCTGGACGACGACAACGACGGAGACGGCGGGTCAGAGTCGACGGAGTCGTCCGCGGGCGGCTCCGGCGGCGGGGAGAGGCAGCGGGAGCACCCGTTCGTGGTCACGGAGCCCGGCGAGGTGGCGAGGGCCAAGAAGAACGGGCTCGACTACCTCTTCCATCTGTACGAGCAGTGCCGCGTCTTCTTGCTGCAGGTGCAGTCCATTGCTAAGCTGGGCGGCCACAAGTCCCCTACCAAGGTACCGCACACTTACAAATATATTAGCAGGGCCACGTTTTTACATTACATAAGCATATATAAAAGCCATTTTGTGTATACGGACACCTAGCTGGAATGTACAATAAACAAACGTATAGTAGTGTAATCAAACAAACTTTTTAGGTCGTTGATTGACAAGCTAGCTAGTGTTTAATTTACTCCAGTTCAGTTATAAGTCTGCCCATAAAACATATATATATATATATATATATATATATATATATATATATATATATATATATATATATATATATATATATCTCAGCCGAAGTTGAGTCACACAAGTTAAGGGTAAGAACTCTATTATATATATATATATATATATATATATATATATATATATATATATATATATATATATAGCGCTCAGCCGAAGTTGGAGTCACACAAGTTAAGGGTAAGAACTCTATTCACATGAGGACATAATTCTAACTTTTAAAATAGTCAAACGATTTAAAAGTGAATTAAAGTTATATATAAAAAATACTAATATTTATGATACAAGATAAATATAATAATGAAGTATACTTTCGTAGTAACCTATAGTTGATACATAGTAAATATTAACACTACTTTACTATAAATTTGATCGAAATTAATCTAGTTTGATTTTCAAAATCCTATGGTGTATCTTTTCAGTATCGAACTCGATGGTTGGTTTCTGAACTGATAAGCGTGGATGGTGCTCTTTTGTTGTGAAAGAAAAACACTGATAACTCCTGGCTAACCAACAAGTGAACTTGCTGTTTGTGGACGGGAGGGACTACGATTATTTTATGATAATATAATAGTAAAAAAATCTAGAGGCATGCAAAGGCCGTTCACATTACCTAGAAGGAAGAAGCAAACCCTTTGTAGTGGAATTCTACCGTAAGTCTATAGTATAGCAGTAGTCTGTAGTCCTAAACTCCTATTGCAAAAGCGAAAGTACCTTTGTGTAGAACTTCTACGTACGTACTGTAGTATTTTTTGCTGGAGACGCACACGTCGCGCAAGCACCTGGAAAAAGCGAGTGACGTGTCAGTCATCGGTAGGCTGCCAAAGCCTGTGCGGCCTTGTGTGGTCTTGTCCGGCCCTAGCGTCAGATGCAGATAGGCATGCATGGCATGGACAAGGACTCCCTCTCGGACTCCGTGGCCTGTGCCCTGTGTGTGCTGTTGCCACTGGTTTCGCGCGTACCAGTACGAGCCACGTGAAGCTCGCTTTCGCAGTTTGGCTGGCGTACGAGCAGTCGCGTGCTCGCCCACAGTCTTCAGAGTTCAGACGGTCCGAGGTGAGATGGAAATGAATGCACGGCCTGGCCTGGCCGGATTCCAGGGTGATTGGATATGATGGCTTCCTGACCTGACCCGGACGGCCGCATCGATGCGCTCCTGCGTCCGCGCCAGGCGCACCCACCCAGACCGAGGCCAGCCACTGGCCAGGCGCGCACAAGCTTGTTCGAACCGTGAGCAGCGTCTGCGTGCGCATTTGTGCGCGCGCGACACGACACGAGCTGCTCTGCACGGCAGTGCACGGGAACCAACCAATCGCGACCGTGGCTGATGAACCTTTTTGTGTGGCGCGCGCGCGTGCGTGCTTGTGTTGCAGGTGACGAACCAGGTGTTCCGGTACGCCAAGAAGTGCGGGGCGAGCTACATCAACAAGCCCAAGATGCGGCACTACGTGCACTGCTACGCGCTGCACTGCCTGGACGAGGAGGCCTCCAACGCGCTGCGCCGGGCGTACAAGGCCCGCGGCGAGAACGTCGGCGCCTGGAGGCAGGCCTGCTACGCGCCGCTCGTCGAGATCGCCGCGCGCCACGGCTTCGACATCGACGCCGTCTTCGCCGCGCACCCGCGCCTCGCCATCTGGTACGTGCCCACCAGGCTGCGCCAGCTCTGCCACCAGGCGCGGGGGAGCCACGCCCACGCCCACGCCCACGCCCATGCCCACGTCGCCGCCGGGCTCCCGCCGCCCCCGATGTTCTAGCTGCGTCGTCGGTGAGTGCCTGCACCGTCGCTGTACGTCTCACAGTTCCTTCAGGCAGTTCCGTGGCGCGATCGAAAAATGGAAGAGCGGGCTCTCTCTGCCTCTGACGATGTGATGTTGTCACTTGTTTGTTGCGTTGTCCTGGTTAGTCAAAAGTGGGCTTAGATTTAGAATGGGGACGTCACTTGTTGGGCCGGGCGGGGAGTGGCACAATTTACAGTTTGGATGGGCCACTTGATTGTTACCTCGCGGCCTCGCCTAGTTGCATTTGTATCCCTCATGATAGTTGTTCCCAAAAAAACGATGTACCGCTCCTGTGATGATGATATATCGTAATTATGCGTTCACAGTAGTGCCATTTGGTTTTCCTCTTAATATAAAAATGAGCTTTCCACATTTGTGATTTTCTTCGATTCGCTCTAACTGTTGAATGGCTGGAAAAAAGAGTTGGGAAAGAGAAATATCTATTTTCAGCCCTTGGGAACTAGAAATGTCTCTCTTCTACCCTTTTTATAGGGTCCTCCTTATCGACCCTTAGTTCGTTGGCTCTCGTCTCGCGGTCGGCTTGGTGGTGGTGGTGCTATCCCAACCTCCTTGTAGTGCGTCGGCCGTGGTAGTGGTGCGGTTGGCCTCCCCTACATGGGGTCTTGTTGTTGGCACTTTCTCTCGCATGCTCGTTCCCAACAGGGTTCTATATTGTGGTTGTTCTTGTCATGAGCATAGTCTGTTGACCACTTGACCCAGGTCGTGCATGATATGGCTAGTAACAATCGCTCAGGGCCTCAGCGTATGAAGATGGTGTGGTATGAGACGCACTTCATATTTGATCTTTGGGTGCTATGTCCTTAGTGTTTGGTGAGGTCCAGACAAGGCAGAGCCCCTCTTTCTTAGTGTAGATATGGTGAATCTCTCGATGGCGGTAGGGTATAGATGACCATGCAGCCCGCAACCCTTCAACTTGGCTCGAATCATAGTGTTTTGGCCTGGCCCCCATGGCATGGCCCAACACATAGGGCTATGCCTGGGCTGCTCCTCAGGCACGCTAGGCAGCATGGCACGGCCTGCCAAAATACATTAGTCCTGATAAAGGCCCGCTATTCATGAAACAATTATGCATACCCTAGGCCTCGTGGAAGTTGTCCCCGCTCTGCGTCTTGCGACTCGGCCGCGCGACTCCTCCTCGCCCTGCGCCGCATGACTCCACTCCTCGGTCCCCACGCGACTCCTCGACCCGTCGGTCCCCGCGTGACTCCTCCCCTCCACATGCACGTCGTCTGCTCCCTACCTCCACGAAAGAAGGAGACTCCTGCCACGCTGCAACACTGCCTCCACGGGACTCCCGCCCCGCCTGACACCGCCTCGTCCTCAGCTGCCACCCCGGGTTGCTCTCTCGGCGAGCCATCGGCAACGGCCACCAGCTGCCCTCCCCCACCGGCCACCGCCAGATGCAACGGCGCCCGCCCAAATCTAGGGTGTGGCTGTGGTACAGGTGCCTGGCTTATCGGGCCAGCCTGACCCAAAAAAGGTATGCAGGGCCATGCTTGGACTGACGACGAGGCCTGTGGCCCTCTTTGACACGGCCCGGTGACCCGTAGAGCCATGCCTATCTCGGTGTGATCGGGCCGTGCTTTCTCCGGGCCTGGGCCGGGTCAGGCCAGGCGGCCTATTTGAATACCTAGATGGTAGGGGAGCTTGAGCCCCCTTTGTCTCATCGGTAGATCCGCCTCTTGTTGCTATCACCCGCTTGAATGAGTCCGACCACTAGATCCGCCTCTGGCTGCTACCACCCACTCAGAAGACGTGTTCCATTGAACATCGTAGTGCAATGAGCTTAAAAGAGTTGTGAACTAGGAAGTAATCTCCAACCACAGGCCCGGCATAACCACTTATATCAGGGCACTCCCTAGTTGCTAGTACGTCTCACAGTTCGTAGTGCCACCAGGCGCGTTGGAGCCATACCCACCACGCCCATGCCGGCGCCGGCCACCCGCCACCCCCGATGTTCTTTTTTTTTTTTAACATGGAAGAGATCTCCATTACTCAATGAATGATGCCAAATATTTGGCCACTAGTACTTGAATACAATTTGAAATACTATCTCGTATGGGACCAGTATCCGAACTCAAACTTGCCCATAGGGCAGCTAAGCAGATTAGAGGAACGAGGGTTATGAGCTACCACTCGTTGGGTGAAATTACTATAAAGTAGGTCCTTCAGTTCCCAAATTAGACACTCAGCGAGCAACGATCAAACTCTGATGAATTGGCTGCCTCAACTACCACCTTGGCGTCTGTTTCCAGCACCACGTTCTAAATCCCAAGTTCGACATCCCATTATAGTGCTTGGAGACAAGCGATAATCTGTGTGTGGGACGGCTCCAAAACTTTCCCCAGCCTACCGTAGCCTGAGCTAGTTCATGACGATTCCTTCACCTCCGCGCAGCACGTAGCCCCATCAACCCGAGCGATCACCCTGTTTTAAAAAGCTCCGCCACTGTTGAGCTCCACAAAGTCTTCCGCCGCCCCCCATGTTCTAGCTGTGTTGATGTCACCGTTGCCTTGCATCTCACAGTTCCTACTTCCTTCATACCGTTCCGTGGCGCGATCGAAAATGGAAGAGGGCGGCCGGGCGGGCTTTCTCTGCCTCTGATCTTGTTGCGCTGTGGTTAGTCAGGAGTGTGCTTAGATTCAGAAGGGGGACGTCACTTGTTGGGCCGAGCGGGCTGGGACACAATTTACAGTTTGGGTGGGCCACTTGTTAGTTTGTTACCTTGCGGCCTCGCCAAAGTTGTATTGTATTGTATCCCTCGTCGTAGTTGTTTTCAAAAAGAAAACAAAAACGGTGTACAGCTCCTTTGATGATGATATTTCCTAATTATGGGTTCACAGTAGTTCATCTGTTTTTCCTCTTACTATAAAAATGAGTGTTCCTCATTCGTGATTTCCTTGGATTCGCTTTAATTGTTGAATGGATGGGAAAGAGAAATATCTGTCTTCGACTTTCCTCTGTTTTACGGTTGTCTCTCACACTCATCCCTCTCAGCACTTCCAGTGTTTGCTAGAATCGAACCGGGGGAAGAAAAAAACGAATCAAGCACACCAGAGCATGTGGATGTTGATTCTTAGGAACGAAAACGCGTTCTGCAGACGGTTTGCACCGAGGAGCATTAAAAAATTCTTTCCGGGCGCCAACAGCTCCCCTGCGTTTGCCAACTGGTCTGAACTATAGTTTTCCAAACTGGCGGCACTGGCACTACACGGCACTAGCACTATCAGGCACGGTGTCACTGTCGTGCCGTGCCGTGTAGTGCCACCGTACCCAAACTCTCGCCCAGGCACGGCACTAAAGCCCTCAGATAGTGCCGTGCCGTGCCACAGGGCACGGCAGCCCAGCGGACTAGTGCCGTGTCTTCGCACTAAAACCACATCACCACTTCAACAGATGAGAATCAAAAGAACAGTTTAAAAACAAACTTGAAATCTGATGAATCTGAAATCACAAAGAAGAAAACACAAGACGGGAAGTGGGTCAGCAGCAGCATGGCCGTAGAGTTCCTCGGCAGCACGACGGCCGAAGAGCTCCTCGGCATCCCCAGCGACATCGTCCTCGTTGTCTCCGGTCATCCCGCAGAGGCGCAGCTCGTCGTTGATGGTCATGGAGAGACCGATGTCCTCCTGCTCGTCCGACATCTCGTCGTCGTCGGCCTCCGGTCCCTCAACTCCAACGCCTACCAAAACCAAGAACAACAAGAACACCTAGGATTAATAGAAGATCATGAAGAAATTAAGAAGAAGAATAAAAACGAACAGATCTAGAGTTACGGCTCACCTCTCTTGACGGAGCACCAGAGACAACGGCGACGACGACGTCGCGAAGACCCGACGCCCTGGTACCTCAACGCATCAGAGCGGAGCCCCAATGATGCCGGACTCCGGCGAGGTCGATGAGAGCGACGAGACAGAGACGAAGACGAACGGTGGTGGATCTCGACGAGAAAGCTACATCGACGGTCAGGGAGAAGGAAGAGTGGTGTAGAAGGCCGTGCCATGTGCCCGTGCCAGCAACCGTCGCCTTAACCAGCCACCGGACGGCGGGAAGAAGAGAGGAGAGCGGCTAGGGTTTCAGTCGATGGGAGAGCTCGATGCGGCCATGCGGCTAGAATGGGGACGGAATGAGCTAGGGTTTGGAAAGGTGGGGAGCCAGGAGCGGCGGCTGGCTTATAAAGCCGTCCCACCCGACCCCTAGATCCAACGGTCAACAGGCGGGGGGGCTCCATCCAACGGCTCGAGGCCGTGCCGCCCCCTTGCCCGGCCGTTGAAGCGGGTCGTGCCCGTGCCGTGCCATCGTGCTGGCATCGCGGCCCAGGCACGGGCACGGTAGCTGCCGGGCCGGGCTGTTTTCGTACCGGGCCAATTCGTACCGTGCTCGTGTCGGCCCAGCGGGCTTGGCCCGTTTGGAAAACTTTATTTGCCAACAGCCACAATGCTTGAAAAAAACATTTTTTAGTTTCATCTGGGTCCCACAGAGCGATGCATACGTTGGACAGAGCGTTCGTCTACGTCGAATCACAGGGTTCGACACCGACACTCGAGCTGCTCTCGGTTCATTCATGTTTTCCTTTGATTCATTCTAATTGTTGAATCGTTGGAAAAGAGAAATCTCTCTCTCTCTCTCTCTGACCCTCTTCTCACTTTTACGGTCATCCCTCGCTCCCATACTCTTTTTTCCAACTCTTGCTTTGTCATCTCTTATCCAATTTGTAGCTATAAAATCTTCATGGGTGCCACACCACTTGTATCATAGCTTGATCGGCTGTACCTGGGTCCACGAGCGTTGCGACTTGTCTCACATATATGAAGCTATTTTTTCACCTTCTTAACATTAAAACAAATATATAGATAATAATTACCTAAGCTGAGTCAATCTCCAGTCAATTTTCATATAAAATTACTCTTGTATTGTAGCTAGCATTTTATTACATACATGTGTTATGGTGGTTA